GTGTTGTGTGTTGTGTGTTGTGTGTTGTGTGTTGTGTGTTGTGTGGTGTGTGTGTGTGTGGTGTGTGTTGTGTGGTGTGTGTGTTGTTGTGTGTTGTGTGTTGTGTGTTGTGTGTGTGTGTGTGTGTGTGTGTGTGTTGTGTGTGTGTTGTGTGTGTGTGTTGTGTGTGTTGTGTGTTGTGTGTGTGTGTTGTGTGTGTGGTGTTGTGTGTTGTGTGTTGTGTGTGGTGTGTTGTGTGTTGTGTGTTGTGTGTTGTGTGTTGTGTGTTGTGTGTTGTGGTGTGTGTGTGTGTGTGTGTGTGTGTGTGTGTGTGTGTGTGTGTGTGTTGTGTGTGTGTGTGTGTGTGTGTTGTGTGTGTGTGTGTGTGTTGTGTGTTGTGTGTGTGTGTTGTGTGTTGTGTGTGTGTGTGTGTGTGTGGTGTGTGTGTGTGTGTGTGTGTGTGGTGTGTGGTGTGTGGTGTGTGGTGTGTGGTGTGTGGTGTGTGGTGTGTGGTGTGTGGTGTGTGGTGTGTGGTGTGTGGTGTGTGGTGTGTGGTGTGTGGTGTGTGTGTGTGTGTCCTCTTCCTATATCTTTATAAGCCCGGGCGGGGGGAAAACCCGTCACCCCCCCCCTAAAACCGGACCCCCGGGATCTGCAGCTTTGCGACCCTCCGGACGGGCCTCGAAGCGGCCCCCTGGGCCTCGCAGAGCGTTTTGCCAAGCATTCGCAGCACACCCAGGGCGATCAGGGGGGTCACCGGAGACGTCCCAGAGAACCCCAAGACAACACAAGAGCGCTCCAAGAAGCCGTCATACCCCCAAAGATCGCTCCAAAACGTACCAAGAGGCTTCCAAGAGCACCCCCAATCAGGCAACAAGAGGGACAAATCATTGACTATATGTAGGTTTTTGGTGCATTTAGGGGTTCTCCTCTTTTCGGCTTCCCGACGCTCCAAGACGGCGGTCCCTAGGCGTCCGAAGCCGCCTGGGAGGCTCCAAGTTCGCCCCACAACCATCCGAAAGGGCTTCCAGGCAGTCCAAGGGAGCCCCAAAACGGCACAACAGGGGTCCAAAATGGCCCTAAGAGAGCACCATGGCGGCCCAAGATGACCCCAAGACACCCTTCGAAGCATTCCAAATCGTGACTGGGGCGTTCAGGGAGACCGCGGTTAGAGGCAGGTTGGCCTTAGGAAGCCCCAGAGGCCCCCAGAACACACCCAGGAGGCCTCCAGAAGGCTTTAAGGAAGCCTGAGAACTTTGGTGAGGCCCCCAGAGGCTCTCCAAGGAGGAGCCTCCGCAAAAAGAGCTGAGGAGGATGGGGAGAATGCCCAGGGTATGGCGAGAATGAGGAAGAATAAGCATGGAGGAAGGACAACGAACAACATTATTATAACGGCGATGCCAGAAAAGGCAGCAAGGAGTTTGGAGTTTGGTATGCAGGCGGAAATGGCAGGAAGGTCAAGCCGACAATTTAGCGATAACTCCTTGCTGCCTTTTCTGGCATCTCCGTTATGATAATGTTGTTCGTTCTCCTTCCTCCATGCTTATTTTTCCTCATTCTCGCCATACCCTGGGCATTCTCCCCATCCTCCTCAGCTCTTTTTGCGGAGGCTCCTCCTTGGAGAGCCTCTGGGGGCCTCACCAAAGTTCTCAGGCTTCCTTAAAGCCTTGTGGAGGCCTCCTGGGTGTGTTCTGGGGGCCTCTAGGGCTTCCTAAGGCCAACATGCCTCTAACCGCGGTCTCCCTGAACGCCCCCGTCACGATTTGGAATGCTTCGGAGGGTGTCTTGGGGCCATCTTGGGCCGCCATAGTGCTCTCTCAGGGCCATTTTGGACTCCTGTTGTGCCGTTTTGGGGCTCCCTTGGACTGCCTGGAAGCCCTTTCGGATGTTTGTGGGGCGATTTGGGAGCCTCCCAGGCGGCTTCAGACGCCCAGGAGACCGCCGTCTTGGAGCGTCGGGAAGCCGAAAAGAGGAGAACCCCAAATGCACCAAAAACCTGCATAGAATCAATGATTTGTCCCTCTTGGGGCCTTCTTGGGGGTGCTCTTGGAAGCCTCTTGGTACGTTTTGGAGCGATCTTTCGGGGAATGACGGCTTCTTGGAGCGCTCTTGTGCTGTCTTGGGGGTCTCTGGGACGTCTCCGGTGACCCCTCTGATCGCCCTGGGTGTGCTGCGAAGGCTTGGCAAAACGCCCTGCGAGGCCCAGAGGGCCGCTTCGAGGCCCGTCCGGAGGGTCCCAAAGCTCCAGATCCCGGGGGTCTGGTTTTAGGGGGGGGTGATGGGTTTTCCCCCCGCCCGGGCTTATATAAATTATCCCCGCAACGCAACCTAACAGCGATGTGTAGGAGCATATCTGGAAGCATTCCCCTTAAGATTCAGATGAGAATCCAGTTGTAGAATTGTGCTGTTCTCGCAGTCGTAATCGCATTCGCGATGACAGTCGCAGTGGCAACGGCAGTCGCAGTCACAGCCTCAGCCTCAGCCTGCCTCAGCCTCAGCCTCAGCCTGCCTCAGCCTCAGCCTGCCTCAGCCTCAGCCTCAGCCTGCCTTCTTCAGCCTCAGCATCAGTCTGCCTTCAGCCTCGGCCTCAGCCTCAGCCTGCCTCAGCCTCACCTGCATCAGCCTCAGCCTCAGCCTCAGCCTGCCTCAGCATCAGCCTGCCTCAGCCTCAGCCTCAGCCTGCCTCTGCCTCAACCTCAGCCTGCTTCAGCCTCAGCCTGAGTCTGCCGTCGGCCTCGGCCTCAGCCTGCCTCAGCCTCAGCCTGCATCAGCCTCAATCACTGTTCCCTATTAATAAACACCCCCTCCCCCAGGCGACTGGGGGCCAACCCGAGTCCATGCCGACCCCCCCCCCACCATCCCTTGTAAAAAACAATACAAAACACACTCTACCTCCAAATTCGGAACATGCGCAGCCAACCCGATGCGGCCCCCCCCCCCACCATCCCTGTCAAAAACAATACAGAGTACACTTGGCGGCGGCGCGCGGCGGCTGCGGCGGCGGCGGCGGCGGCGGCGGCTGCGGCGACGGCGACGGCGGCTGCGGCGGCAGCGGCGGCGGCGGGGTCGGCGGCGAGCGGCTGCGGCGGCGGGCAGCGGGGGCGCGGCGGCGGCGGGCGCGTCGGCGGCGGCGCGGCGGCGGCGGCGGCGGCGGCGGCGGCGGCGGCGGCGGGCGGCGGCGGCGGCGGCGGCGCGGCGGGGGCGGCGGCGGCGGGCACGGATTGGCCCCCAGTAGCTCCCCATCCCAAGACGACTGCTGAATATGCTGAGGCTCGGGCCAGGCTCGGGTGCTACGTATGTGTTGGGAGGGCGGGTGGGAGTGAGCGAGACGGCTTGCGGGCGGGGAGGGGGTAACTTGGCCTCAGCCTCAGCCTGCCTCAGCCTTAGCCTCAGCCTGCTTCAGCCTCAGCCTCAGTCTGCCTTCAGCCTCGGCCTCAGCCTCAGCCTGCCGCAGCCTCACCTGCATCAGCCTCAGCCTCCTCAGCCTCAGCCTCCTCAGCCTCAGCCTCAGCCTCAGCCTCAGCCTCAGCCTCCGCCTGCCTGCCTGCATGAGCCTCAGCCTCAGCCTCAGCCTGCCTCAGCATCAGCCTGCAGCCTCAGCCTCTGCCTTCAGCCTCAGCCGCCAGCCTCAGCCTCAGCCTCAGCCTCAGCCTCAGCCTGCAGCCTCAGCCTCAGCCAGCCTCAGCCTCAGCCTCAGCCTGCCTCAGCCTCAGCCTGCCTCAGCCTCAGCCTGCCTCAGCCTCAGCCTCAGCCTGCCAGCCTCAGCCTCAGTCTGCCTTCAGCCTCGGCCTCAGCCTCAGCCTGCCTCAGCCTCAGCCTGCATCAGCCTCAGCCTCAGCCTCAGCCTGCCTCAGCATCAGCCTGCTTCAGCCTCAGCCTCAGCCTGCCTCAGCCTCAGCCTCAGCTGCTTCAGCCTCAGCCTCAGTCTGCCTTCAGCCTCGGCCTCAGCCTCAGCCTGCCTCAGCCTGCAGCCTCAGCCTCAGCCTCAGCCTGCCTCAGCCTCAGCCTGCCTCAGCCTCAGCCTCAGCCTGCCTCAGCCTCAGCCTCAGCCTGCTTCAGCCTCAGCCTCAGTCTGCCTTCAGCCTCGGCCTCAGCCTCAGCCTGCCTCAGCCTCAGCCTGCATCAGCCTCAGCCTCAGCCTCAGCCTGCCTCAGCATCAGCCTGCCTCAGCCTCAGCCTCAGCCTGCCTCAGCCTCAGCCTCAGCCTGCTTCAGCCTCAGCCTCAGTCTGCCTTCAGCCTCGGCCTCAGCCTCAGCCTGCCTCAGCCTCAGCCTGCCTCAGCCTCAGCCTCAGCCTCAGCCTGCCTTCAGCCTCGGCCTCAGCCTCAGCCTGCCTCAGCCTCAGCCTGCCTCAGCCTCAGCATCAGCCTGCCTCAGCATTCAAAATGTGGCCCGGGAATGGAGTTCTGGGAACTCGAAGAACACGAAGTGGCCTACACTTGGCTCTGGGCATTCAAAATCATGCCCAGGAATGGAGTTCTGGGAACTCGAAGACCACGAAGTGGCCTACAGTTGGCTCCAGGCATTCAAGATGTGGCCCAGGAATGGAGTTCTGGGAGCTCGAAGACCACGAAGTGGCCTACAGTTGGCTCCGGGCATTCAAAATCATGCCCAGGAATGGAGTTCTGGAAATTCGAAGACCACGAAGCGGCCTAGAGTTGGCTCCGGGCATTCAAAATCATGCCCAGGAATGGAGTTCTGGGACCTCGAAGACCACGAAGTGTGTAACTGTTTGCTTAAATCGACTTCCGCGGCTTCTCCCCGGCTCCTGCCGGGACCCCCCTGGGGAGTCGAGTACTCTCTTTTGACCCCAGTAGAAACCTATCAGTCTTCGCTGCCAGGTAATGTAGGAAGAGGAATATCTATCTATCCGTTAGACCCGCTGCAGCCCCAAGATCGTGTTGTTTCTTTCCCCCCTCTCCTCCTCATCCCCGTCCTCCTCCTCCTCCTCCTTCGCCCCCGCCTCCGGCTGCTGTTCCTATGATTCCTCCCGCCGGGGCATCCCATGGCTCACCGCCGCGCCTGAAGGAACACGCCGCAGTCGCTCCTCTGTCGGCCGCGCGGAAACTCGTCTCGATGAGTTCGTTCTGACCCTTCTCTTTCTGCCCCTCGTCCTCCATCCCTCCCTTCCCCTCCCCCTCCTCCTCCTCCTTCTCCTCCTCCTCCTGCGATGTGGAGCCAGAGAGGGAACGGGGAGAGAGACGGAAGGGACAATGGGTGGGGAGTGCGGGGCGTGGGGGACAACGGGAGGGAAGATGGAGGGAAAATGAGGAGAGGGACTACTCTAGAATGTGCTGCAACGCCGATCACGTGGCACTCAGCGGTTTGCCCAACCGCCGTCCAGGCTGCACCCGTCCTCCGACCACTTCCTGAACTCAGAAAGGCCTGGCGGGGCTTGGGTTGTCCAACGAACCTCGGCGGGAAAGCACCCTCGCAGCCCGTACGCCGCGAACTCCTCCAGCGCCCCCTGCCGCTGGTGATCGTCATCTCGGACGGCGCCCCTGCAGCCCCCTGGTGGACTCCGCCTCGGCGCTGGCTGCGTCGAAGTGAATACGTTGTGGCGGCCTCTTAACGTAATCGTGAGTTATAGAGCTGGGTGTGGGCCAGTCGGCCTGAACCGTGCATACCCTCTCCCTCGGCCGCTGAGGGTGGCAGCACATGGGGTAGCGCCACATCATGATGATGATACACACCGCTTCGCTGGAAGCGCGATCGTCTCGCTCGTGGTAGCGGTCTGCGGGATGGCTCGATGCGTCCCTGGGCGTGGGCATCCACGGCGGCTTCGCCGCGGAGGTCAAGTTTGAGCACGCGCACGACGACGGCCAGGAGGGCGACGCGGACCGCGAGGAAGCCTGGGACTCACCCACGGAGGCTAGCCATACCTCAGGCAGGGAGCTTGAGGAAAGCTGTGAGGGTGAGGGAGGCGTCAATTGCGAGGCGACACCCGCAGATCAGCAGAGGGCTGTAGGGTTGCCTGAGGAAATGGACGTGCCCCGAGAGAGGCTTCTCGTCATCGCCGCTCCCGAAGTTCGTGAGAGGGAGGACGCAATTGATGATTCACCTCTGCCTCAGGTGGCCCCCTTCTTTGCCTACTACTACCAGGACAAGGGTACCAGCGAGGAAAAGGGGTTTGAGGAAGGAGCGGAGGAGCAGCCCAGGACGGCAGGGAATGATCCCCCCGATGACCCCCCTGCGTGCGCCGGAGCCCGCCCGGCCAGCTCCCACCTCGGCGGGGCAAGGGCAAGAGTGTGCCCCAGGCCGATGGGGAGACCAGCGGCAAAGACAGCTAGGAAAACTGACTCAGCACGCTACTAACTCGGTTCTTGAACTGGCTAGGGGGGAAGCTCGGCTACATCCTCAGCGCCTTGCTGAGCCAGTTAGTACACTTCGTTATTAGCTTGGTCATTGCCTTCGGCCAGTACCTGCTGAGACGTTACTGGGCACGCTGGCAGCGGCCATCATTGCCATGATGTTCTGATCGGTTATCAGCCTTTTACTGCCTGGTTCTCACGTCGCATTGCAAACCACAGCTCGGCCATTTATCGCACGGTCTCTGGATTCGTCAATGGCGACAAGACAGGCGTCGACCTGCAGCTCGCCCTCGCGGGATCGGGGGAGGGGGCCTTCAGAACACGTTACGGCCGAGCACGTCTCCGAACAGGTGAGGGCTCGAGGACACCAAATGCTGCCCAAGGACCTGCTCGTGCGGTCGGGGGGAGCGGTTGCCAGGCTGGGACGAGGACCTCTACGAGTAAGCAGGACTGCACGGCATGGCTACGTCCACCGCGTGCGCGGCCGCTCGCATCGTCACCTCAAGAACCGCCTTGAGGCCACTCGGGACGAGAAAGGCACGGGTCTGATCCGCCTGTGCTTCTCACGCCTGTACCCTCCCTGACGACGGTGAACACATTCTGCACATCGACGCGTCTACGGCGGTTGACCACGACAGGGTGCTGAACGTTACTGACCTGGCCAAGCTCACCCCCGCTGGACGAGCTCGTGCAGGGGGTAGGATTTGCTGCTCTTGGCGTAGAGGTGGCGCGCAACGAGCTTGGAGGAGTGTGTGGCGCTGTTGTGCCAAGAGTGGATTGAGGCATACGGGCCACGAGGATGGCAAACCCAAGGTCGAGATGATGGACCTCAATTCCGAGACGGAGTCCGAGCATAACGACGAGGTGTGCGAGGCGGATCGGATTGAACAACTACGGCTGGGGACCACCCACATTTTGTGGCCTCGGGGCTGTCGGGACTCCGCACGCTCTCGTTCGTACTAAATATGCTCTCGGCGTTGCGTTTCCCATTTTTATGTTGGCGTGTGTCTACCTTTTAACAAACGCCCAGGGCATGTTTAGGTTGAGCCGAGGATACTAGCACCTCCGACGTCCGACAGTTCCCAGGGATTGAGAGTAGGATTGAGAGTACCAAGGCGTTCAAGGCTGTCCCTTTCCACGCCAAGACTTACGAGGCTCAGGCGGCCCAGAGGAAGTGGGCGCGGCTACACTGCTCCCACGAGAAAGCCACCGAGCAGGAGACAGACCGATCGGTGAGCAGGCCGACGAAGTCCTCCCCTCCGGCACCGAGGCCTCAGCACCGTCGGACGAGTTCGATCGTACGCTCGGACAGCCCATCGGCTAAGAAGCACGCAGACTTGCAGTGGCTGATCCATGTGAGGGACCCCCTGGCTGCGACGTCTGAGGGTTGAGATGCCTAATTACTACAGCTTCGGGGCCAAGATGGTCGGCCCAGCTCGGGACTCGACGGAGGATGACCATAGGACCGAAGTGGAGGCCGAGGGCCGATGAGCTGGGCGTGAGGTTCTCCAGCCAAGAGAGCGCCCTCCGCTGCTCGACGATTTCCTGGACTCCCAGCCGCCCGCCATATGTCGGCGTGCAAGCGCCGTGCTGTACCTGGCCGACGAGGGGGGCGGCGTAAACAGGGAGGGTGAGCAAATGAGCCCGCAGGCGGCGGCAGCGGTCTTGAGGGACACGCGTGGGGCCCGGCACCCGGTGGCGAGGAGGGCCCCTCCGAAAAGCCGCAGCCGCACCCCTCTCCCAGCAAGGGCCCAGTTGGGGCAGCGGCGGAGGAAGTTGCGGGCAGCCAGAAGGATGAATTGGACGCCCAGCTACGGCCGCTCCACGCGCAGAAGGCCACCCCACGAGCGGCAGCAGACGCCAGGCACGAGTTCATCCAGGACTACATGCGCCGCAGGCTGGAGGGCCAATCACACCCACAGGTTCGAACCGATCTGGCGATTAGGGCTGGCAAAGGACTTGGGGAGATACTGGGTGACCTCATCGGGGCGGCGAAGGACCTGTGCGACGAACGAGGCGCAGGTGCTATCGGTTCGGGGAGCCGCGCGATGCCACAGGGGTACATACCAGGATGGAGGAAGGGCTTGAGGAGAGGAAGGGGGACACACCGCGCTCTCTTGGGGTAGACGTGCAGGTTGGGGGTGCCGCACACGCTCCATCCCAAGAATCATGGGCGGAGGTGGAGCGCCCGCCCCCTGTATCTCTGCAGGCGGCCCCCCCGCAGATTCCGCCCGGTCTAGGCTACCTGGGGTTCGGTCAGAGGCCGGGGGCAGGGCCAGATCCGAGTGCCGGAGCACGGCTTGGCCGCCAGTGGTCGCCACCGTGTGGACGCCCAGGATTTCTTTGGGAGCCGCGCGGCCAGCTCTCCAGTCCCGTGGACGCCAACCACGCCTACCACTTTCGCCCAGAGCCTCACGCAGTTGCGCGACTGGCATGCTGGATCCACGACGACACACCCCGAGAGCAGAGTGCTGGCAGGCCCGACGCCAGATTCGGCCACAGAGGCGGTACTCAGGGACTTGGTCAGGGAGCTGGGTAGGGCGAACAAGCACTCCGAGGAGTCGGGAGGCGCCGCCAATGGCACGCTGACCAGCATCGGCCGGCAGGAGGGGCAAGAGGGCAGGAGGAGGGGGCAGTGGCGCAGGGGGAGGTGGGCTCCTGCTGGGGAGGTCCCTGACCCTGGCCGAGCGAGGCAGGAGCATGGACCGCAGGCCCAAGTCTCCGACGGGAGAACGGCACACATGCTGGGTCCACTCGAGCTGGCGAGGGTGTGGCTACCAAGCGTGCACGCACTCTCCACACACCCATAGGCAAGGTGGAACTACTCGGTCCAGATGCAGCTCCTTGGGAGAGAAGGCGTCAAAGGCGCCCCGAGGATTAAGTCGGATGCCGAGGCGAACCAGAAGATCGAGGCCCTTCGCCGACTGCAGGGGGACGGGCGGGCATCGAGGCAGGCCGCGGCGACCGAGAAGGGCGAGAAGGCGGGGCAATGCTCAGACAGGAGAGCGGGGCAAGACGCGTGGCCGCCCGGGGAAGCCCGACCAGAGGACGGCGGCTGGGGGGTCGCGCCCACAGAACTCCCCGACTTGAACCCCACGGACCTCGAGGAGCAGCTGCGGAAGACCGTGCAGGGGCCGGACGCCAAGTGGATGGCCAATCGCCAATACGCCAGGCAGCATAGGACCCCTCTGCCCGACCCGTCTCCCGAGCTGGCCCGCCGCAAGGCGATCATGAGGACCATCGACACTGACGGGCAGCTTCAACATGCGGCTAGCGCCCAAGGCCTGCTCGGGTGCTGCCCTCGAAACCGCGTCGGGGCGGCCATGGAGGCAGAGGAGGCCTACGACGTGGAAGGGCTGGCGGCTCATGCCGTGGCGTTCGAATGCACTGAACTGGCGAAAGCGGCGGAGCGATTTCTCAACACCCACTACTGGAGCAGCACAGCGAAGGAAGATGCGCAGGCCCGGGCCAAGGTCGGGCCCATCACCTGTGGTCCTGGCCGATGAGGGATAGACGATGCTGGACTATTGGGACAAGCTCGCACTGGATGCGGAAACGGTCGACCGTGCTCAAGAGGCACCAGCTTTCTGCCAGTTCCGAGCCCGCTGACATCGAACTGCGGGAGTGCGCGGTGAGCAACGTAGTGGCATCACTTTCGGTCAGCGGGGCGGAGCCAGTCACGAACATGACGAGTCGGGCACTACCCTCGGCCATGAAGGTCCAGCAGGCCAGCCTA